GAATAATATATATATATATAAATTAATACCGGTGATTCTAAATATTAATAAATACATATAGTAGTATATTAAATATACTAAAATAACACTACTACTATGTCTTATGTTTCATTAAAATACAGATTAAAACTACAGTAAAACAGTTGTGAAATATTATTACAATGCAAAATAACTGTTTTCTATTTGAATATATTTAATAATATAATTTATTCCTGTGATCAAAGCTGAATTTTCAGCATCATTACTCCAGTCTTCAGTGTGTCATGATCCTTCAGAAATCATTCTAATACGATTTGCCGCTCAAGAAACATTTACAGTATTATTATCACTGTTAAAAACAGTTGCATTTTTGTGGAAAATATAATATATATTTTCAGAATAGAAACTTCAAAAGAACAGTATTTATTAAAAACAGAAATCTTTTGTAACATTATAAAGGTCTTTATGTCACTTTTGATCAATTTAATGCATCCTTGCTGAATGAATGTCTTAATTTCTATTAGTCGCACTGACCTCAAACTTTAGAACGGTACTGTAACTTGTTGCTTTTACAGTTGATATAATGATGAAGGAACAGTTCACCCGACTGTGAAAACAAATTTCTCCAATCTGCAAAACATCTCGTTATTTCCTAATAAAAATGTCCATGATTATTTGTTAATCGGTGCAAATGTCACAACCTGAGCAAGTACAAGAAAACATCACATAAAACCATCTGTGACGTACACAAACAAACCGAACCTTCACTGCACAATATTAAATTCAGTATTACAGCCCAAACCAAGGTTCCCCATCAAAGGCAGGACAGTCTGGCAGGGTGCCACTCAAATCCAATTAGCAACTTCCAATTAATAGGGGGTCTCCTAATGCTTTATCAGCCACATTAACCAAACAGCTGATTAGACTTCGGCCCAAATGCACAGAAGACAAACAATCTGATTGAGAGCTCACAAAACAAAGATAAGAGCTTGATGGAGAGGCCTGTGGGTGAAAAGGAAAAAAAACTCCAACAAACTTAAAGGACTGAGCGCTTAAGACAGGCATTTAAACCTCATTAATTTAAGGGTTAAAACATTCAGATAATTCTCATTAGAACCTTATGACAGGCTGTGCACTAAAACAAACTTCTAGGCTTCTAGTGAATAATAAAATAAGCTGAATATTTAATGACGGTTAGAAATGTGACAGCTTTGTGGTTAGACGTGGTTTGTCTTACACTTTGGAATTGTGAATAAGCATACATTACCGTTCAAAAGTTTGCATGGGACAGGTAAGGATTTTATTTTTGTTAAAAGATTCTCTTTTGCTCACCAAGAATGCATTTATTTGATCAAAAGTACAGTAAAAACAGAAATACTGTGATATATTATTACAATCTAAAATAAGTGTTTTCCATTTGACTATATTTTAAAATGTAATTTATTCCTGTGATTAAAGCTGTATTTTCAGCATCATTACTCCAGTCTTCAGTGTCACATGATCCATCAGAAATCAGTATAATATGCTGATTTGCTGCTCAAGAAACATTTCTGATTATCATCATTGTTGAAAACAATTAACTTAATATTTTTGAGAAAACACATTTTTTCAGGATTCTCCGATAAATAGAAAGTTCAAAAGAACAGCATTTATTTGAAACTGAAATCTTTCGTAACAATATAATGTCTTTAACTGTCACTTTTGATCAATTTAATGCATACTAATTTCTTTCAAAAATAAAATTGTACGGACCCCAAACTTTTGAACAAAAATGGTATATAGGTATAGTTTATCAAGACAAAACTGTTACCAACCCATTTTACTTGAATTAGGTATAAAGCACATCATTAGAGTAAATCAAGGAAATTTTGACTTCCTGTTAACTTTAGATGCATTCATTCTTCACAGTGAGTCAGTAGTCGGGATGGGCATTTTTCAGAAACATTGTATTCGAATATTTGGGCTCATAAAAAAAAAAAACGAATATTCGTTTATTTCAATGATGTTTAACGAGAAAGACGTTCAATCAAGTTTTTGTCACCATTTCTGAACAAGCTTATGTTTAGGCATCATACACAACAATGTGTACAACAACGTTACGTTATATCTCAAGGTTTTCATTTAGTTGAAAAAGTGTGTAAACAAAAAATATATACATAGAACAAAAGCATTGTACAGAACGTACATGTACTCGAGTCGACCTATGTTTATCATGTTTATATTGTTTTACATCATGTTAATGTTGAGAAAAACAATAATATCCACATGAAAGCGCCTCAGTCTGATAACAATAAGAACGCGCAGCGACCCATACATTCCAGAGAGACAAAGATAACGGTGTGCTAGGCAAAGTTTCTTACAGCGCTTTGTGCTTTCTGTTCTTAAAGCACCCTCTCCCTAGAGCAGCGGTTCTCAATTCCAGTCCTCGCGTACCCCCGCTCTGCACATTTTGTATGTTTCTCTTATTGCTTCAGACGTTTGTTATATTTGACTGTAAGTGCCCTGCGAATTGGACATTACCGGATATTCCGCCATGATTCCAGTTTGAAGGGAGCGCATATGATCGGAACACAGTTCATGCACGGAGCTCACTTCTAACGAGATGATGATCTGAATCAGGTGTGTTAACAAAGAGAGACATGCAAAACATGCAGAGCGGGGGTATGCGAGGACTGGAATTGAGAACCGCTGCCCTAGAGGAAACTTAAAGGAAGCATATGTCTCAAGATCATTTGGCTATCAGAAAAGCTCTCTTCTCGGCTCACTCAGTACAACTGTCTTTCCTCAGTCCACTGCTGTTTGGATTTCATGTGATTTCTCATTGTGGTGGTGATATTATGATAACTCAGTTTCACTGATTCATTTGATCAAAAGTAATTCCATTTTGTAAGATCATTTAGTAAGATAATTTTGATCAAAGTAATTACAAACTTCGCGAGGCAGACGACGACATTCTGTGATCAAAAACAATCAACTTGTTAACTCGCTCCACGGCGCCACCAAGTGCATTTAGTTATAACTAGTGCTGTCAAACAATTAATCGCGATCAATCGCATCCAAAATAAGTTTTTGTTTACATAATATATGTGTGCGTACTGTGTATATTTACTATGTATATATAAATACACACACAAGCATTTATATTTTGAAAATATTTACATGTATTTACATGCATATATGTATATTCATATAATTCATATTTATAAATATATTTAATATATAAACATAACATATATTTTTTAATATATACATGCATGTTTGTGTATTTATATACATAATAAATATACACAGTATGCACACATATATTCTGTAAACAAAATATTTTATTTTGCATGCGATTAATCACGATTAATCGTTTGACAGCACTAGTTATAACTGACTTTTAGTTTGCTTGCTTAGGATTTATCATGGATTCCCTGCATTTACGGCCAGCAAAGCAACACGTAGTAAAATTCTAATAGTGTTTTTATTTTTCAAATAATAATTACAGATCGAATATTCGACTATCTGTGCACACCGCTAGTCAGCAGTAGTAATTAGAGGTGATAAAATCAGAGTTAAGTGGCTTTCTTACATTCGAACAAAGAGTGACTGTTTGGGCCCCAGTCCAGGAGATGAAAATTTCTCGACCAGAGCCAGCGTGCTGAAGCCAAACTTGTGTATGGGCTCGTTGGAGTCCAGCGGAGGGAAATCTGTGTCCACCTCCCCGTCATCCTCAGCGATGTGGAGGCAGTAAGTGTTGACGTTTTCACTGTGGAGGAAAGAAAGGAGAAAAATAAGAGAGAGATCAAACTCAAAGAGTGCTATTGTCAATGAAAGTATGTTTACTATTTCAATAAGGTAAAATCCTGTTTTCCTATTAGCTTGTTCTATTTTTAAGCAACTAAGCATTTTAAAGGTTTGACAGCGAGAGCGTTTCACTCGCATCCGTGACAAAAACAGATGTGCACAAACTGTAAATGGTATATAGGAGCACGTGTGTGAATAAAAAAGTCCTGCGGATCCTTCAAAAATTAAGTTTTATGAAATTTAAGGTTATAAAATGTTTTAAATATCTTAAATGGTATTACAATCATCTTAATTACCATTTTAAGAAGTCTTACATTTGTGTATGGAAAAACGGGGATCGCAATACGGCCTAATGTGGTTATTATGTGATTATTAAACTTCAAAAGGGTATGATTTAATAAAATAAATGAGAGCTGCACGTTTTGAAAGTAAAAACATGGCACTATTACACGCTCTTCAGACTCACAGTTTCAGAGCATTTCACAATCGATGAATACCAAGCATTTATGGCAAGCGATTGCTTATGATCTAGTGTTGATGAATTATGACAGTGTTTACTTCATGGTGTTTATATTGTAATATGCTGTAGACTGTTATAAGAGTACATAATATTTCTCCCTCATCTTTTGAATGAACAGCTGGCAATAGTAAAGATTAGACATTACAAAATAAGAGTCAAGGTGTAGTTCAGGCTTGTTTATAATTAGTATAGTAACTTATATATAATATATAATACTAAATCATAGTATTTTGTTAATAATATAGAATAATATTATTTACTAATACTATTTACTAAGATAAGTTTAGAAAGGCATGCAAAAATTGTATTGTTTTTTTATCTGTGTATGTGTATGTGTATATATATATATATATATATATATATATATATAAGAAAAAAAAATTGTATTTAGTTTGTGTCTGTGGAAAAGTGGTTCTGAAGGACTCTTTCTAAAACTCTGGTTTGGTGATAAAGGCCAACATCGCTCTCCCGACCCTAGACGAGAACAACAGAAACATCACACAAAAGCACCTAGACACAATTTATGAGTCAGGGCATTTAAATAGGGGCTATTCATTGAGGGGCAAAAACACTGAGGGCTTGTTGGGGTGCAGCCTGGCACAGAATGAGTATGAATCAAAAGAGAAGCACTGGGAAGAGTTAACTTCATTGGTTTCATGGTTAAATCTTTTGTTATATCATTATATATAGCATAAGCTGGCCGTATTCCAGATTACTTTTGCCCAGAGCTTTGTTTTATATCATCCATCAGAAATACAAAACTAACAGCAGCCTATTCCATGTTTCATTCAGCGCAGCCGCAGACATGTTAAGCTTTTGTCTTTATGATATAGTTTTCATCCCTCGAGGACAGTGCCTGCGCTGGTGTTTGCACTGGGACGATGGCGTTTTAATTTGCTCTGACACCCTGTCCAAATCCAGGCCTGAGCTGTAAAGACTAACTCTCATAGTGTTAATCAGACCCTTGATCCTGCTCGGGCAGCCTGAGGAGATGACAACTGACTGAGAGAAAGTCCTGAACCTCAAGCACCACAACTTGTCTTTTTTTGTAGTTTCAGTAACATGCACTCCTTCTCGATTTCACCTTCAAATTCTGGGCCATCCAAGACAACATCTGTCTTTTGAATATCTAAGATCATTACATATCTTGTCTCAAAAGACCTTCTGTCTGGTTCTTATCCCTATAAAGCCTACCATATTTAATACACAAATTTCTAAGGCCTCTAAATTACCAACATGATCAAAATCTATTTCTATGCATTTTATGCAAGTAGTCTGCTATACGGTTATGAAGACCTCATTGATTTACATTACAAGCTACAAAACATAGAAACACTCCACTATTCAATAGTAATATATGGCTGTCATAATTTCTTCACATTAAACCGAACTTTCATTTTGGCAGTTTGTCATGAAGTCTTTTGATTTGCAGTGTGTATTTGAGGACAGTTTGAGTTGTCTTATTTTTTTCTGGATTGTGTGTTCTATGATTAACCATCAAAATTGTCTAATGAAATGAATTCATAAACTACAACAATTTAATAAATCTTTTCAAATGTAATCAAAAGAAAACAATTTAGAACAAAACTTTTTTGTCAAATAAAGTGCTGCACAACAAAACTATACAGAAGGGCTGTCAAAAATAATTCGAATTTTGAATATTCGTTTAATTAAAAAAAAAAATATCCACATTTCGAATGCAAAAACGTTGCATTCGAATTTAAGGTCTGCGTCAGCCAGCCTTATCAGTGGTGCACGAGATGCGATGACGATGTATGTGTCATTGATTGCATTTGAATGCTTTTGTTAGCCTATCCAGTTGAACCCACTAGATGCGGCGCTGCTACCTTGTTTATTCATATATTGCGGAAAAGGAGAGCATCAGTGTGGAGAAGATGTTGTTTACGTCAAAACTGAAACCAAGCCGTTCACACAGAATGCATATTTATCACATTTTCTAGAAGGACATCTATCAGCGTTGCACTCGCGTCTCGCAGAGAGCGGCCTGTTTAGAAAGCCATGTAAAATTAATGCAAGTTCAACTTTTAAAAAACATGTCTAAAGACGTTATGGCGGTTTTTCCCCATCCCACTGTATTTCATGTTTTTAAATGAAGAAAGTAGCCTGCTCTTTGTGATTGGTTTTCGGTCCTTTGTATTAAACTATACATACATGCATGGTGCTGTTTTTTTTCTAATTGTTTAAGCAACTTTATTAATTATATATGGTTTATAAACATTATTTTAAACATTATGCACTTTTTTTCAAAGATAGTCGTGTTATTTTATTACGCTTTGAAGAAACGTGCATAATATTTTGCTCGATGCGCCCTCTTGTGGCCTCAGGAGAGAAGCCAAAAGCTTTTTCCCCCCTAACTGAAATTATGCCTTTTAAATTCGAATATAATTCGAATTTTGATAATAAGTAGAAAATTAGAATTGAGTTTTTCAGTCATTTTGACAGCCCTACTATACAGTAGAATATAGTATACTGTACAAATGAAAACATGGATGAAAATATTCTTCCTTAAAATTATTATTATAATGATAATTATTACTTTAAGAAGTACATTTTAGTATGCAATAATAATAATTCCTGTTATCATTTCTTTAACTAAAACCAAACCTTTATTCTGGCAGTTTGTAATGAAGACCTTGCAGTGTGTGTCTTACGTTAATTAAAGTCATGTGTTTTTCTGACTCAATTTACACCTATATTAAGCACACGTGTCTGAATGATAATACCAGATGTAAAAGGGGTTCATTCTAATAAAATACTCAAAAACTGGATTGGCAGAATCATAGGAGAGAGGGAGATGGGAAATTATTGGCTTGCCCTGACAGCGATCTGAACGTCCTGAAAGAATCGTTTCTGAATTCAAGAGGGGCGTCCCTTTACCTTGATCCTCTCTCAAAAGCAGCTTTCAGACGGCCTCCAGTAATCGCTAGAGCCGTACGGAGGTAGTCGACTCATTTAAACCCCACACAAGTCCCGTATCTCTTCCTCGCTACAGCCTGACCCACCTCCAGGGGGAAAAGACTAATTGATATGCCAATCAGGTATCACATCAACCACCAAGACTGTCTGTGTGAGGCACCACACTGCCCAAGAGGGAATCTGGCTTTTTTTCTGGTCTCCTCTCCATTTTAATGGTCACCCTCTCCTCAATCTGACCGAAGTATAAATCTTCATATTGTACCACGTACCAGGGAGAAAATTCCTACACTATTCGGTCAGCAAACCTCGGAGACGTACTGAATGAGGAGATGAGAAAGAAACCCAGGGGAATCCCTGCCTTTGCTGGGAAAGGTCAAGACTGGCATTAGCAGCAGAGGTAGATGGGAAAGGAATATAAATGCCTCTGGGAAGGATCATTACTTGGAGAGCAGCACTTTCCAAGCAGGTTGATAACAAACATATTTTATTTATGGCACCGTAAACAAGTATCCACTAAGCAGGGATTGACGGTGCGAGCATTTCACTCGCATTTGCGACTAAAAATAGATGTGTGCAAACTGCAAAATGTATTTAGGATACATGAGCGAATAAAAAGTAAGTTCCCACGTGTCCTTAAATAATGGCATAACAAAAGTCTTATTTATCATTTTAAGAGGTCTTAAATTTGGAGCCGGAAATCAGGAATTGTTATATGGCTTAATGCAGTGTTATTTTAAAGGGGTCATGATGCAATGACGCTGCTAAAAAGAACATTATTTTGTGTATTTGGTGTAATGAAATGTGTTTATGCGGTTTAAGGTTCAAAAAACACATTATTTTCCACATACTGTACATTATTGTTTCTCCTCTATGCCCCGCCTTTCTGAAACGTGCCGATTTTTACAAAGCTCATCGGTCTGAAAAGCAAGGGGTCCTCTGATTGACCAGCTATCCAGTG